GAATGAGAGATTTGAGAGTTAATAGTGTACAGGTGATTTCCCAAAATACAACTGTGATTGAGAGTGAACTAACAGTGAGCCAAAAGCAGGGCAAGAGAAGAGCCCATAAAGGAGCCCAAGAAGTGGCCAGAGAGTAAAACGAGGAAGGAGAGCTGGGGATCTTGGAAGGAGAGGGTCTCTGCCTGTGTTTGTCTCCTTCCTGGTGGTGGGAGTGTGAGGTGGGGGAGATAGATAAGCGATAACCATTGATAGGTGAATTGCTAATTCTTTGCAGTTATTCAAACAGAAGGTTTAGAGAAGTCTTCAGTAGTTTGGAAACCACCATTCCTGGATTAGTAGCTGCATACCTTGCATCACAACCTTGCTCTGCCAAAACCTGCTGAATTACTCCCCTCTCTGGCCTGGATTTCCTCATTGTTTAAATGAGAGGATTGGGTTTATAGTTCCCAAGATCCTTCAGGGAAATGGGCTTGTAGTAACGATGGGAAAATTGGAGGCAGAGTTTATGCTGCTGCATCTGGAAGATGACTGCTTTCCCCATGACGGTGAAGATATGTCCTTGCTGACACTGAATTTGGCTCAGAATCCAGGGACAGTGGATGTTTGTAAACATTCACTTTTCCTCAAACAGACACATGTGGATTGGTATGTAAGTTCTTCCAAAATCGTGAGTCCAGCCAATGTATAAAAGGACAGTATAGCACAGGGAGATCAGCTCGGTGGTTTGTGACCAGCTAGAGGGGTGGGATAGGGAGGGTGGGAGGGAGGGAGACGCAAGAGGGAGGGGATATGTATATGGATAGTTGATTCATTTTGTTATAAAGCAGAAACTAACACACCATTGTAAAGCAATTATACTCCAATAAAGATGTTTAAAAAAAAAAAAGGACAATATTGAAGGAAAAAATTTATTTTTTCCAGTCTGGCAATATCCCACCTTGAGCTGTGTGCCCCCTCCAGGGACTGTAAGCCACAGGAGGACATTTTGAGAGGGGCTCCATCTGCTTCTGCCTGTGTGGCCACATTGGCTCTAACAAGCTTTTACATTCATGGCTATTTAAATAGGGAACTTAACTGAACCTCAGAGTGGATGTGTGGGTATGTGGGTCTGTGATGTGTGGGCTCTTCCTACCCACTGTAACCCATCTGAAAGAATATAGGTTCCCTTTGATTCAAAACTCTGGGAACTCACACGTATTTAATTAGTAAGTAACCCACATAGGTTCATACTGAAAAGTGCTTTATAACAGCGGTCCCCAACCTTGTTGGCACCAGGGAACTGTTTCGTGGAAGTCAATTTTTCCACGGATGGGGGCAGGGGGGGGATGGTTCAGATGGTAATGCCAGCGATCAGGGCGCAGGGGGTTTCAGGCGGTGACGTGAGTGATGGGGAGCGATGGGGAGCGGCAGATGAAGCTTCACTCGCTCCCTTGCCCGCTGCACACCTCCTGCTGTGTGGCCCGGCTCCTAACAGGCTGCGAACTGGTACTGGCCCACGGCCTGGGGGTTGGGGAACCCTGCTTTATAAGACTTTCTATTGCAACCCTCTAGCCTTGATTCAGATCAGTTATTATTTTTAAGATATTAAAAATTTTTTGAGGTAATTGTAGATTCACATGCAGTTGTAAGAAGCAGTACAGAGAAATCCCATATGCCTTTCACCCAGTTTCTCCCAGTGGTAACATCTCATATAACTTTGGTACAACATTAGAACCAATAAATTGATATTCATACAAACCACCTACCTTATTCAGATTTCACCAGTTTTACAAGCACTAATTGATGTGTGAGTGAGTGTGTGTGTGTGTGTGTGTGTGTATTCACAGTTAGTTCTATGCAATTTGAACATGTATAGATTTCTGGAACATTTGCCACAGTACAGAACAGTTCCATTACAAAGATCCCTCATGCTACCCTTTTGTACCTCCCTTCTGCCTACCGACCTAACTCCTGGAAAGCACTAATCTGTTCTACGTCTCTATAATTTTGTCATTTCAAGAATGTTATATAAATGGAATCGTATAGTACATAACCTCTTGAGATTGGATTATTTTCATTCAGTGTAATTCCCTTGAGAGCTGTCCAAGTTGTGTGTATGGAGAGTTTGTTCCTTTTTGGTCCTAAGTAGCATTCCATGGTATATAACAGTTTATTTAACCATTCACTCATTGAGGGACATTTGGGTTGTTTCCAGTTTTCTGCTATCATGCATGAAGCTGCTATAAACATTCCATACAGGCTTTTGTGTGAGCATAAGTCTTCATTTCTCTGGGACAAATGTCCAGGAATGTATTTGCTGGGTCATATGGTAGTTGCATGTTTAGTTTTTTAAGAAACTTCAAACTGTTTTCCATAGCAGCTATACCATTTTACATTCTCACCACAGTGTATGAGTGACCTAGTTTTACCACATCCTTACCATTGTTTGGGTGCTGTCACTTTTTAAAATTTTACTCATTTATCTCGTTGTGGTTTTAATTTGCAGTTCTCTGATGGCTAATGAGATTGAACATCTTTTTGTTCGCCGTCTGTATATCCCCTTCAGTGAAATGTCTCTTCATGTCTTTTGCCTGTTTTCTCATTGTTCTTTTATTCTTGAGTTTTGAGAGATCTTTAGATCTTCCAGAGGCAAGTCCTTTGACGGCTATATGGCTTACAAATACTTTCTCCCACTCTGTAGCTCATCTTTTCATTCTCTTCACAAGTTTCTCTCAGAGCAAAAGTTTTTCATTTTGATGAGGTCCAATTTTTCAGTTTTTCCTTTTCTGGATCATCTGATTAGTATCCAGTCTCTGAACTCTTTCC